CGCACAAAAAACCTGGATCCGTTCTATGAATTATTAAAGAAGGATAAATCATTCGAGTGGTCTGCGGAAAAGCAAGCCGCATTTATTCGAATCAAAGAAATCATCACATCGGAGCTTGTACTACACATTTTCGACCCAAATAAGAAGACCATTCTCATCACGGACGCTTCGGATATCGGCATTGGAGCTGTGCTAAAACAAGAACATGACGGGCAGGAAGTACCAGTGGGATATTTCTCACGAAAACTGCTAAAGCATCAAAGGAACTACGTGGTCACCGAAAAGGAAGCTTTAGCCATCATTGAAGCGGTGGAATACTGGCACCACTATCTATACGGACGAAAATTCACCATCCGCACCGACCACAAACCATTAAAATACATCAATACGTACAAAAGGACCAATACTCGCGTTATGAACTGGGCCATGCGGCTAAACCAATACGAATTTGACATTGGATACATAAAAGGCGAGACAAACCAGGAAGCTGATTTCCTGTCCCGAAACCCGAATTTCGAGGTGAATGTCCTGTCACTTGACAGATTGGAAGTACTACACAGACCGTTGTTGCAAAATCCACCGCGCGGGTGTGTAAAGTACAATAACCATATTGTGAAGGTGCGTAAGGATGTACGAAGATATTATCTGCCTGAACAAGAAGCGTTACAAGAACTGCGGAGAATACACGAGGAAAAGGGACATCTTGGAATGGTGAAGACTAACCAGCATTTTGCCCTCAAATACTTCGCCAACAAACAAAATGATCTGGTTATGAAAATCGTAAACGGGTGTGACATCTGTAAACGCGCGAAGAAGCAGATACGAAAGTATGGGGAAATCGACAAGCTTGGACCAGCCACCGAACCCCTACAAATTGTACACATCGATACCAAAGGTGGATTTTCTGAACCGCGGGTAAAAACCCGATATCTACACATCGCTATTGATGCTTTCTCCCGTTTCATCTGGATCCGTGCATCCCAACATCAAAATTCGCAAGATTATCTAAATCTTCTACAGCAGATCGAAGAAGATGGGACACCGTCGAAAATTGTGACGGACCGATACGGAGCTTTCAAATCGGATCGGTTCAGATCTGTATTGAGAACAAAATCCATTGTGCTGGTTCATACACCCACCGCCCATCCACAAAGCAATGGACTGGTCGAACGTGTGGGACAAACCATAGTGGAGAAACTACGATGCAAAAGGCTCATCGATGAAACGCGAAGCTGGTCCGCGTTGGCGAAAGAAGTAGCCGACGAATATAATCACACCATCCACAGCAGTACCAAATTCACCCCAGCTTATCTTCTGGCTGGAAGAGATCCCGACGAGATCTACCACGGACACGATTTGAACAATGACCGTAAGAGTGCTCTCGAGCACAGCCAGTCGGCTTACCAAAAGGAATTCAAACGTATTGTTCAAAAACAAATTCCATGGAAACTGAAATTGGGGGACATGGTATATGCCGATCTGGCAGATGAATTAAACAAGAAAAAATTGGACCCAGTGTACCGGGGACCATTCAAAGTGATTAACAAAATATCGGAGGTCATGTTCGAAATAAAATTACCAGATCGCACAGAGAAGGTACACATTGGTAAGTTAAAACCATTTGTCCCAGCCGTGGGAATCGGTGACGACGAATGATTCCTCAAAGGTCATCCAACGTATCACTACGGCGTACTATACTCATCATTAACCTCATTCTACTACGCCGACCAAAATTTTCATCCAACAATTTTTTTTGTTTGTTCATCTAAACTGTGCTACAAAATTTTTTTTTTTTTTCATGGATTCATCGAAAACTTTTGTGATACTACCATTTGTGTTTCTCATCATACCCAGACAATGTACTATTCGGGTATTTGTGACGCGGGACACACCCGACTAATACACAACACATTTATTTTCATTTGTGATGTGCAAACTTCAACATACTCGATAAGTGGAAGATCCCACTTGCAATAAATGAGCCATGTGGCGGAGTTTCTCCGCTGCCCCCCCCCTGGTGTCAAGATAAGGCGGGGGGATGTCATGTTCTTGGCCTCTATCACTTGATTTATGAACGGATCCCAACCGTGGAACCGTCAATTTTCTTTAAGCAACAGATGGATCGTGAACAATGGAATGGTTGGCTATCATTCGGACGGAGCAGTTTAATCTGTTCATTGTTCACGAGTCGATACGTACCAACCGACCAACACCTGGCTATAACGATAATCAATCAAAACGCATGGAAATGCCATGAAGTCTATTGTTAATGAGACCGTGAGATATTTCCATCCAACATATCTGCCAGGATTATCGACATCTGTTGATACCGGGACCTAGAGTCCTAGCCATAAATCAGTGAGAACAAAAGAGAGTCATCCTTAAACAACAAATGGTCATCCGCTTGACCAACGACATTTGGCACCGAGAACAAAGGACTGACGGGCAATGAATCAAACTGTTGCCCGAACAACAATGGAATTGGACACTCCTGGACACATGGAACAAAAGCCCATTATGATTTCTTGGTTACAATGGAACAATGGGTTTCCTGTCAAAACTGACAGCGTCCGCACCTGGTCTGCCAACCCTCTGTCCCGAAATGTCATTTGAAACGACCGAAAGTATAAAAACGATTGGCAAATCGCCAATCGAGGCCTTCGAATCTCATTTGGAATTTAGTGCTTGTTGCATCAAGATCACTATTAAAATCCAACTCGAGTGCCCGTCTAGCTGAAGTCGAGCGACTAAATACCAAGATCGCCATCGGCTAGATCGTCTCATCATTTCATCTTCAATTTTCGACTAATTATTCTTCGACCTCCATGGTTGACGCATTTCGATGAATTCTATCTCTATAGAATTTATTGACCATCTCACTTAATCTTCAATTTTCGACTAATTATTCTTCGACCTCCATGGTTGACGCATTTCGATGAATTCTATCTCTATAGAATTTATTGACCATCTCATTAATCTTCAATTTTCGACTAATTATTCTTCGACCTCCATGGTTGACGCATTTCGATGAATTCTATCTCTATAGAATTTATTGACCATCTCACTTCATCTTCAATTTTCGACTAATTATTCTTCGACCTCCATGGTTGACGCATTTCGATGAATTCTATCTCTATAGAATTTATTGACCATCTCACTTCATCTTCAATTTTCGACTAATTATTCTTCGACCTCCATGGTTGACGCATTTCGATGAATTCTATCTCTATAGAATTTATTGACCATCTCACTTCATCTTCAATATTCGACTAATCACTTTCTTCGACCTCCATGGTTGACGCATTTCGATAAATTCTATCTCTATAGAATTTATTGACCATCTCATTTCATCTTCAACATTCGACTCAACAATCCCTTTTCTTTCACAAAACTAATCGACACTTTCATCATATAAATTCTATTTAATCTATTGTATCTTCAATCGAATGATTTATATCCACAAATAAATAAAATAATTTATCGAACATTCATCCTTAATCGTTAAATAAATTTCCTTGTTATTAGTGAGGTTGGCGACTTAATATTCATTTCCAGTGTCATGAAAATCCCCATCAGCTGCACCCTAGAATCCTGTATTGAGTGACATTCACAAATACAGTGAAATCTAGAAAGGATCTAGTACATGACATATATATGTTTCATATTCTGTATCGAATTAATTTTCGGTTATATTATAATAATGATTATAATTTTTGCTAAAGTAAAAAAATCCGTAGAAACCAAATACCAAAACATTGAATGTATTAGATTCAAATAATAATTTCTATATTACCATTATTACATATATATATAATATGATCGATAAACCAAGTATTTCATTCGTTTTCATTTTGGTTATTTCGTGGATATTTTCTGCTTATGGGTTATGAATTGAAATTAATGACGAATGCATATACAACGACGAAATGCAAGCAAAAGTGTGTGTGTGTGTGTGTGTGTGTGTGAAAAAGATAGTATGCAATATGTGCACACTCACACACACACACACACAGTATTCTAGAAGTTTTATTCTTCACTTTTTTTTCTATTGGTGATTTCAATTCGCTAATGTTGATATAGTGATGATGATGATGAATGTATTCCACAATGTGCATACAATTCACCAATATTTTTTTGATGTTTGTTTTCTTTTTTTCGTTTTGTTTTTCGTTTTGTTTTGTTTTTTGGATCGTTCCATTTGGATCTTTGTATTTTCCATGTATCTATCGTATTTGGTTAAATCTATCTAAAAGTATAATTATCTATGAATAATTCCTCATCATTCGTCGTATGTTGATGTTTGACAATGATAAAAATAAAAATTTATATATCGATAAGTCTGTTCAGTGGTTGTTGTTGTTGTTGTTGCTGCTGCTGCTTCAGTGTTGAGAATCGATGAAATTGAATGAAAAAAAAAAATTCATTAACCTCGTATTATTTCTTGCTACACGATCAAGACCATCACACACACACACACACACAAAAAAAATCAATCATTTTATCAATCAATAAGCAGATGAATCTAATGAATATGGCCATAATAATAATCATCATCACCAGCAGCAAATGAATTCTATTTGAATGAAAATGAAGTGAGAAAAAAAATCGATTTTTTTTTGCTTTCACTTTCATTTCTCATCACATTGATCAAACATGGATCAAAAACAAATTGCAAATGTTATTCTTTTTCTCTTTCTTGCTCTGGATAATTGTCTTCGTTGTGATGATTAATGATTTTTTTTATCGTTTCAAAAATTTACGATCTATACATTTCTATAGATTTAAAATTAATCAATTTCGATTTTTTTTGCCAATTTTCGATCAAGGCTAATTATCATCATTATCATTATTTTTTGGTTATTAAATAATTAATTAAACAAAATGAACAAATTGTGATAAAACAAAATGAAAACAAAACGAAAAAAAAACCATAAAATATAAAAAAATATTAATAATCAATCGATTGATTGATTAGGTTTGTATATAAATAAATAACTTACACAATCAGTGTGTATAGGATGTACGGCAAACAATGCGGCCATTATGAATGGTGTTGATTGTAGCCATGATGTGGATGACGGTAAGATTGATGATGATGATGATTTGATGCCGGATACGGAACTCGTAGATGTGAATCGATAAAATCGTTGACATAACCTTGGATAGCCATGACAATGATAATAATGAACGTGTTTGTTTGTTTAGTTTTTTTTGGTTTCAATCGAAATAAACTTACCGATAGAATAGAATGGTAACAAAATAATGTAATAAAATATTGACAAAATGATAACCAAATGGTCGTAATTGATGGATGATATAATTTATACGAAATGTTAATACCGTTAATGGACGATAACTTTTATGGCTTAATGTCTATATATGTATATAGAAAAAAAAATTAAAAGTTAAAAATAGAAAAATAAAATTTTTGCATAGAATGATTTCATAATTGTGAAAAAAATCATTGAAATTTTCCGTATACTGGAAACAAAACAAAACAACAACAACAAAAGTCATGGCCTATATATTTTTCCCAGTATAAATGAAGTAAGTTTCAAATTACCAACATGAATCCTAGAAAAAAATGATGATGATGATGATGATGATGATGTTGCTGATGTCCTCAAAGACAATATAGTCTAGTCTTTTTGAGAACCTCGAAAACAAAAACAAAAACAAAAAAAAAACAAAACTTTGTACCAGAAAAACAAAACAAAACGATCACTTTCATTCTCATCATTATTCTTCTAATAAAATACACAGACAAAAACAAAAAGGAATTCCCTGAAGAAACAAAAACAAAAAATGAAAAGAAAACGAAAAACGAAAAAGCCTCGTTATTTGTTGTTGTTAGGTCATTTTTGGAAACAAATGAAATAGTGAACTGGAGAAGAAAGATAGAAAAAAAAATACAAAACGGAACAAACAAACAAACAAATAAAAAACGAAGAAAATCATTTACAGAGAAAAAACTTTTCTTTTTTTTTTGACCGGATCAGAGTATGGAACGGAAGGATGAATTTTTGTATTAGAATTAAGAACATGAAATAAGAATTTTTTTTCTCTCTCATTTCAAATGCTTCTATATATATGTATGCGATGAAAATGTGTCAGTATTTTGGAAAACCGGGAATCTTTTTTCTTGTTGTTTTATGGATTTAGATTTGCGCATTCCGTTGAAATAAGAAGAAACCAAATTTGTGTATTGAATCATTATATTAATCGATAATAAAAATAATTTATTTTAGGCCAATCGGATCAATAATAATAATATTGATATTGATAATTCAATAAAAATCCAAGATTTTTCTATCTGTAGATCAAAATCTCAAAATTGAATATCTTTATATCTTTCTGAAAACAGAATAACACACACACACACACACACACACACACACACACACACACACACACACACACACACACACACACACACACACACACACACACACACACACACACACACACACACACACACACATTTTGGTCATTTTTTTGAGGTCATCATATATAATCATCGATGATGAAAGTATCAATTTTCCAAAATGTCAATAACAATAATGATGATGATGATGAAGTGACAGTTTATAAGCCAAAAGAGAAAAACAAACTTGATCATCAAGTTGATTCACTACTTTTTTTTGAAATTTCATTTCATTCAATCATTCAAGTTTTTTTTCTGCCTGATCAAATACGGTTAAATGGTTTTCATTTTCATTATTATTTTATATTTGGTTTCAGTTAGTTCAAACTTTATTTTTTTTTTCGTTGAAGAATAATTTGTCATAACTTTTTTTTTCTTTGTATTTCAATGTTTTCACAAACATTGTATCTTCATGCGTGTGTGTGTGTGTGTGTGCAAGTTTTGCTCCAAGGTTCCTATTGTGTAACCATTAATTGAATGTTCACTTACTGGTGGTGGTCTTTATTGTTGATCATCTGATTAGATGTTATGTGTGTGTGTGTGTGTGTGTGTGTGTGCGGAGAAAAAAAAACCAAACAATTCAAAGTTTCAAGTTTTTGAAATTTCTCAAATTTCTCCATTGAATTTTTTCTGTTTATTTTTTTTTCATGAACTAGAATAGTGATAAAATTCAATTCAATGATGAATTTTGAAACCACAGAAGTGAAATTTTCAATTTTGATTGAAAGCTACCAAAATCACATGAGACAAAATAAAATAAAATAAAAAATGAAACCCGAAAAATGTTCTTGGGGGCAAGAATTTTATTGATAAAATTCTAGCCTTTCAACACACACGCACACACACACACACACAAACAAGAGAATCAAATCAAAAAAATTTTTCTTTGAAAATTTAAATTCTGAAATTCATTCATTTTCAAATTCCGATCACTTTTTTCTTTGCTTTTAAAATATAGTTCAAACACACACACACACTCCCACGCAAAAACAAAATTCAATTTAAATTCTTAGATTCATTGCCATTAAACAAATATACATAACATATATACAGAGCAGACAAAGTTACTTAAATTTATATAAATGTGAATGTCAATTTCAATTTTCACATCCTCCAAAATTATACAAAACAAAACAAAACAAACAACTTATATGCTGAGAAAGTGAAAATTTTTCACTTTACGGAAACATGGAATTTCGCTCCCAACAACAACAACAACAAAAAGAAAAAAGGGAAAAATTTTCTGGAAAAAAAACAAAACAACAAAGTGATATATTTTTTTCGGGTGACAATAATCGTAAATAACAATTTTCTATGCTAAATTAAATTCGTTTTTTTTGTTTGTTTCAACTTTTCCTTTGTTCAATTTCTATTTGTTTTTTTTTTTTTTTGGTCTCTATGAAACGAAATATAAACTACTGTGGCAACTCTAAACCAATATGATGTGATCATTTTAGATTTCTGATTTCTGTTTCCCGGAAATCAATCTGAACGATTCCGGTTGACAACAACAACAAAAACAACAACAATAAAAACGAATGAAAGGAAATTAAAAATGAAAAAATAAACTAACCCAGTGTGTGTCTATGAATTATGGCTACTCGAATGATACTGGAATAGGAATGTGATATATATTTTCATTTTCAAAGAATTTTAGTTTTTTTCAAGTGTTGTTGTTGTTTATTTTGTTTTTTTATTGAGAAAAAAAATTCCACTTTTTGAAATTTAATGAAAAAATATTATACTGCTTTGTGTGTTTTTTTTGTGGTCAAAATTTATGGCAATGATAATACGCCTGTGAAGTTTTTTATTTTTTTTTTTATATTAAATTAAAATTCCCAAGAAACTTTCAAGTAAAATTTACAGTTGTCCTAAAAAAATGCTAAGAATCTATTTTTGTCTGTTTGTTCCACAAACAAATCATCATAAATTTCACGAAAAAAAAAGTTTGTTGAAATAAAAAACAACATACCGATTTTAATGGTGTACCCCAATAATCATTAAACCATAGCTGTGTCCATGATGTTTTCGATGATCGTAGATCATCATTCTGTATGATTGCTGGACGATCATCAAATACAAGTTCAGCATAAAATGTTGGCCAATATGAAATAATAATCAATATGAATAAAATCATCGATGGTGAATAAATTATTTTCATTATCAATTTAATTATGTTTATCATAATGGTTGAAATATGTGATAATTTTTTATTAAATTTTTCAAAAATCTTATTCATAAACACTGTTTGATGTATTGAAGAATCAATATTATGATCAATAAAATGGCCATTATGATGATCACAGGCTAATTGATGATATTGTTGTTGTTGTTGTTTTGTATTATTCGATGATGATGATGATGATGATGATGATGGTGTGGTTGACATTCGATGACAAGAATGATATAATAATAATAAACAGCTACTATAAAGCCTATGGCGACGATTATAATAATTATTTTGATGATGATGATGAATATTTGGACCAATAGCCGAGAATATGATGGTGGATGAAAGAAAATCACTTGATGGAAACATGATGACAAATTGTGTTTTTTTTTCACCAAAAAAAAATCAATTTCTCAATTCTTTTTTTTTCGAAAATTTTTCATTTGAAATGATGTGTTGTTGTTGTTCCTATTTTTGAAATTAAAAAAAAAAAAAACGAAACGATAACTAGATGTACGAATTTTCAAAATGTTCAATGAATAATTTTTTTTCTCTGCAATATTAGAGAATTTGTTTCTACACAAACACACACACACACAGAGTGAACAGAATTTGAAATAAGCATTGAAATGAAATGAAACGAAACGAAACCAGTTTCATTGATGATTGTGAAATGGTTCGTTGTAAAAAAAATTCTCAATTTTTCCTTCTCAAAATGAAATTAATAGTAGGTATAAGTAGACACTGTATACACACACACACACACAATTCTACATAACCGTATATTTTAATGGCTGGAAAAAAATAAATTCTTCAATATCATCATTGGCTCATTACATTAAGCATCTGAGTTTTTTATTTCTTCTTCTTCTTCTTATTCTTTCTTCTAGTCGTAATTCACTCTCTCTCTCTTTCTTTCTTTTTTTTTGAATGTAGTACATTTACAAATGATATATATTCTCTTATTAGACTAATGAAACCTGGAGAAAAAAATAAAATCCATTGCCATTTTATCCGATTCTCTAGAATGTCTTGTTATTAATTAAAATAAAATTAGATTGAAACGGGCAATGAAAAGAAAAATAGAAAAAAAAATATTATTCATTTGAATTTATTCTAAAGTTTCATGGTTTTTTTTTCATTTCTCTCAAATAATTAAATTGAAATATTGAATTTGAATGGCAATTCTTTGCTTCACCGGAATACGGAAAGGGAATACATGAAAATTAACATTATATTAGCCAATGTGAGCAAAAACAAAAAAAAAGAAAGAAAATTTCCGGAAACATTGATTAAGTTCGGTTGAATGAATGTCTGAAAAATGAAATTCTCATGTATATTCAAGGAATGAATTTCGGTAATTCTTTTTTTTTTGCTAAGCACCAGCATCGACGAAGAAGAAAAATTATTTTTTCCTTTTCCTTTTTGAAGGAATTTTTTTTCTTCCATTCCACAAAACGCTGATTATTATTTTGAATAAAAAAAAATGGCTGACATTTTTTGTTCGTTGTGTGTACGATGGTGGTGGCAATAAATCAAATGAATTTAAGCAAAAACAAATGAATGAGAAAAAGAAAAGGAAAAAAAATTTCATTAACTATATTACACACACACGTAACACGCGTTTTGTGTAAACAGGGCGGGGGGGAATAAAGTGAGAAAAAGTCAATTCCAATCTATCAGCTGTAGGCAGGATTATTTATTGGCAAAAAAAAAAAATAATAATTGGAATCCAAAAGTGATCGATCAACAACAACAACAACAACAACGAAAAAATAAAGTGTGAATCTAATATTGTTTTTTAATAATAAAAATGGATGAATATTCTGGCAAAAAAAAATGGAAAAAATTTCATTTTTAATGAAATAATAATGTTATATTGTGAACTGCAAAAAAAAACACCTACAAATTTCAAGACCAGAAACACGACGCCTTATTACCTTTCGTTTTTTTCGATGTCAAATATGATAATTTGTTTAATTTTTAATCAAAAAAATTTTTTTTTGCTCGCTAGACAGACACACAGATGAATGATGATAAAAAATTTAATTTTTTAGTAGAATGAAAAATTGAAAAAAAATTCTTTAATGCACAAGCACAGAAAAAAAACGCTGTTTCACATAGATAAACAAACAAACAAACAATGAAATTAGTGGATAACTAGAAAATTAGAAAAAATGTTGAATGATGACTGATTCAGGTGTTCACGATAAACGATTGACTCGACTCTATGTCACAGTACTGTATCATCACATTATTTTTATTTCATTTCAAATTACAATCATTTTTGAATGAATGTTTAGATTCTTCTTCTTTTTTTGATGACGATTACCAATTTGAATCTTGGAACGGTTGGTTCCAGAATCGTGATGATGACGATGATAGTTAGTGGTGGTGAACAATTTTTTTCAACACACATACACACAGACACACATACACAGACATTTAACAATAAATGACGCGCGCATATTTTCGAATGAAAAAGCGGAAAAAAAATAAATTTTTCGCCATTCTTTTAGTGTTTAGCATCACACATATTCTATAGACAACCACTAACGACAATGATGATGATGATGATGATGACTGAAAGCGACTAAATAAATCGACTTGTATTTCGTTTGTTGTTTGCGTGTGTGTGTGTGTGTGTGTGTATAAAGGAAATTGTTCCAACAACAGTCAGCATCAGCAGTCAACAGCCAGAAAATGTGTAAACGTTTTGATGATGATTTGCAGCAGAAGCAGCAGTATTTGGAATCCGGAAAAAAAAGAAGAATGTGTATAATTCATTCTGTTCCATTTTATTTATCATGAAAATAACACATACCACCACCAAAACATTGCTACTACAATCATTACCGTTATTTGTACGATATAATATATAAATTCAGCTATTGTGTCCTAGCATTTAGCTATATAAACACACAAACACACACACATTATGTAATGTTATCTTTTATCTTTGAAATGTACGAATTTTTTTTCGTATTGAATGTGAATAGCAAAAAAAAAAAAAAAAAAAAATGAATCAATGATGAACACATATAAAGGGGAAAAAAATAATTTCTGCATAGCAATGCTATTTCAATGTGTTTGTGTGTGTGTGTGTGTGTGTGTGTGTGTGTGTGTGTGTGGAAAATAAAATTAAAAAAAAAATTTTAAGGCCATATTATCATCGATGATAAAGTCAAACAATTTTTTTTCTATTGTCAAGATATATTCAGGGTTAATCTTTTTTTTTGTTATATAATAGAAATGTTCATCCATCTCATTCATTCATTCATTTATTTTAAACATCAGGTCACAGCAGGAATCGGATATAATATCAACACAACACAATACAAGAAATGAGATATAACTAACCGTTTGATAATAAAAAAAAACTTGAGTGGACTAGAAGAAAAAAAAACACATAGATGATGATGTTGTAGTGAGAATGATGACAGTCGTGCGTGTGATTGTGGCTTATTATTTTCTTTTCTTATGGAAAACTTTTTTTTAGATATTTTATTATCCTTACGGATTTTCATATTTCAATATTTGTAAAAAAAAATCCAAAAAGGAAAAAAAAATATCAGATGACCACCGACTGTGTTGTTTCCATCCAAACAGACAAAACAAATGCATTATATAGTGTAAATATGAAAATCTCAGAAAAAAACAAAAAAAAATCAGCACCGAAAAAAAGTGGAAAACAACAAGGCCTCAATAAAAATAAAAAAAATAAGAATCTATTGTTGTTGTCGGTTTGTTTCGGTTCATCTAGTGTTTTGATTTGGAATTTTCGGTTTAGAACTTTTGGTTTATTTTTTTTTCGATAGATTTTTATTTTGGTTCGTTGCCTATTTTTTTTCATCATTGATAATAATCACAAATATCGATCCAGAAAATAAAGGATGTTGATCCCTTGTGTGATTTTCTCGGTTTTTTCTTTCGTCACACACACACACACACATTTTATTCTGTTTTTTGTGTGTGTGTGTGTGTGTTTGGCGATGATATTGACATAACAACCAAAAATGTTTGTGATTGGATCTATGTGTTCGATAAAAAAAGGACTAGTAAGCCACAGACTGGAAATCTAGAAATTCGATCCATCATCAAATGCGTCGATTCAAATGGGAAAAAAAACAAAATCGAAAAGTATACATTTCACGAACAAAAATGCAAAAATTTTTTTTTTATTATCCACATAAAGGTGATAAAGGGCATTGTTGTGGTGATCCAGGCATCAGGCATCAGAATCGATTTATCAATGATTTATAACGGTAAAATGTGTAATAATAATAATAATAATAATGATGCATGAAAACAAAATATACAACAATGTACTATAACTAGATTTATGTGTGCGTGTGTGTGAAGTAAATTACCTCTCTCTCTCTCTCGCTTTTTAGCCGGAATTCTGGAACATGTTTTTATTTTTTATTTTTTTTTGGAATAGAGAAAAAAACCATCATTCCATTGCATGCATTCATCTATCTAAATTATTATTATTGGAAAATTTTTTTTCCCCGTTCACACTAATCAAAATAAATAGCTCTTTTGAATGAAATTTTTTTTGATTTACTTTTTCTTGATTTATATTTGATTCCATTTCACGGGGTAAAGGTAAGATCATCATCATCATATAGAGGATGAGAATCTCATATATCTTCATTTTATTAAAAAGTGTGCGAAATAAGGTCTTAAACTTTGCCTTTTTTTTGCGTGTGTGTCCTGAAACGAAAATATTTTTGCGTTTATTAGATTATTACCAGGAAATTTCTTTTTTTTCCGCTGGTATTACTATTAATTGGACAGAACCACTCATATCAACACAAGAGGAGAATTCTGGTTGAATTCTATTGACAATGAAAATAAACAAACAAACAAAAAAAAAATGATGGGGATCAAATGGATGAAATGAAACGAAACTAGAAAAAAAAGGATCATCATCATTATCATTATCATTAGCGTTAATCCAGCTTTTTTTTGAGGATACAATTTTCTTGTTTACAAAGATGATGATCATGATTATGATTATTATTTATTTATTCATTATTGAATATATGATTTTGAATTGAAGATGTGATATTTTGGGTATAAAACAAAAATTCCCATTGATGATGAAGATGATAATAAGTATCGTCATTCGTAATATATTGATGGAGAAATCAATGATTATGGATAATAATCGATTATGATGAACGATACAATCGCATCAATGTGTGTTTCAATGGAATCAAGATTATCGAGCACTGTGGTCTATTTTTCATTTTATTTCAGCCAAAGAAAAAAAATTGTTAATTTCTTTTAAATTGTTGATGATTTAATAATTTATTTGAATCAGAAAAAAAACGTAAAAAAAATTTCCAAAATTTGAAATGTGATCATGACGACGATGATGAACGACCATAAAATAGTATCAAGGGAACAACCAACCAACCAGGAAGAGAAAAAAAAATGAA